CGCATAAAGCCTAATAGTATACACGCAGGAGTACCAACCCAAACAGGGGAGAATGTGATGACCACTTCTGGCTTATGAGCCGTCCCACCTGTAGATTTGTGGGGCCTTGGGATTGAATCCCAGATACTTTGCACATTGGACACCAAATTGTTCGACACCCTGTCATTGAACTGGCTGACCTATTTCCTTTGGGTTGCAATTGGGAACATTAAATGTCGTAGAATTGACGTTTATTGATCGGATTATGGGATTCGCTCGTCTCCTTAGGCCTTGAGCTCTCACCGAAAGGCCCTAAGTGAACGAAAACCTCAAACGTGCGCTATTCGTACAGTCACGATAAGATGCTTCGATACTGTCGGAACCAAATCGTGCCCTTGAGGTAGCATTTTTTTCTAATATGAATGCCGACGTATTAGGTCTACTTGAAATTTAATCTAACCAACGTTATTTGTACACTGTCAGCTGGAGTGAGTGCCCATGTAGCAGGATCAGCATTCGAGATCGAATTGTTCGGCTAGGGTTGTAATGGGCCTAAGACTACCTAGTACGGAATAGATCATTATCGGTTAAGACACCAGTGTGAATGAGAGGCTCATTGGTATTCAACTTGTGGCGACCAATACAGGACTATTAAATCAAGTTTTAGCGACTACTCTTCAATCGAGCGCGTTATTGATAGATACTACAGTCCAGTTTGGTGAAAAATACCTGCTCATCTGAAGTTAACAAAAATCCTTTTGCACTTTCGAATCCCACGTTAGTGGGCTGAAAATAAAGTTGTTACAACCAGAATTGTAACGGCTTCCGGTGAGAGCGTAATACGCAGAGGGGCTGAAAAGAGAGTTCAGTGGGTCAGTGTAAGATGGAAACCGGGATTGTAGGAGTTTTGCGTGTGTGGGGGGGGCGTATACGCGGAAAGCATAAAGAAGCTGGAAATGGCTTAAAATGGGAGGTAGACCGTGACAGCGATTTGTTTAAGTGAATGAATAATTAATTGGCAAGGTCCCGAGCCGTCTAAAAATGGGAGCACAGAGCCAGTGTGCAAAAAATAAAGTTGACGTAAACAGAACGCAGGCCA